TGTTCACCGTGTTCGACCCCTCCTTCTTGCCGGGCTGCTGTTGCCAATTAGCGATCGATTCGCCCCTGGTTCCTGGCATGGCTGGCGTGGCCCGCGGTGCTGGCATGGTTTCATTTACCTTTCCGGGCATAGCGTGGCCAACCGGTCTCCTTTAATGGCCTCAACCATGCCTGATCTGGGCAGATTCCAGCTGGTTGGGAGTTCGCCCTGACCAGATCCCCGTTTCCAGAACCGCTCAGCTGAGGCCCCTGGTTCTTTTTTCTTTTTGATGGAAAACTAACCGACGTGATTTTTTTCTTTTTTTCCTCCAGCACGGCTTGGCCGGGATGGATGCTAGATGAGTCCGTCTGGCCCGACGTGCGATATAGTGTATTTCTTGGGTTAAGGGTCTGCTCACTAGCAAACCCTGCAAACCCTTCACGAAGGAGGCTACGGAGTATGTGAGCACATTTCTTCTTCGTCCGCAGAGACGGAGCCAATCTTCGGTCAGGAAGAGAAACAGCGCGGCCCTGTTCTGGAAGGGAGCCAATCACTTCAACGACGGGGGACCGGAGTGGGCACACAGGGTCTGCACCAGTTGGACTCCGATGGGTTCCCGGCTTCAGGGACGGGGTCCTATTTGTCCAAAGCTTGCATAGGACTCCTCTCCTCTCCTCTCCTCTCCTTACCGCCCTCATGCCCTTGCATGTATCACCACCTGCCCCACCCTCCAAGATGGCTTCTTTGTGACCCGCTTCTTGTATAAAGGTCCTGAGTGGGTTTCTCCCTCTTTTCTCGGGATTTCTTGCTTTTCCACCCAAACACCCTCAAACATCCCAAACGTTCCTTTTTTTCGTTGGAGATCTCCGCGATCCTCTCCCTCCATTCCCACTGTCCTTTCCTTTCGACAAGCTGCCCCGCTCCTTCTAAGTAGCAGCCACAACATTCCCCGACTGAGTCGGCCTTTTACATTCCTTGAACAAAGTACATATCAACGCAGCCGAGAGCTTCCAAATTCCTTCTATATATAAGAAGAACCATAGAAAAGACAAGAGCCCCACAAGCCCAAAGTCCCATCAAAATGCAGTTCTCCAGCGTCATCCTCGGCATGTTCGCCTCGGCCGTCGCCGTCGCCGCCAACACCGTCACCTTCATCTCCCAAGACAGCACCCACCGCACCATCGTCTTCACCCCCAATGCCGGCTGCCCGACCCTTCCCGACGTCAACGTCGAGGGCCACGCCACCGTGACGGCCGAGTTCCCTCAAGGCTGGATCGGCAACTGGTACTCCGTTTCCGACGGCTCCTCTCGCATCCCCGGTATGCTCGGCGAGGTGGCCTTCCAGGGCTGGAACGGTCTTACCTACTTTGACGTTTCTGCCATCGTCAACGCCAACGACCACGTCGGTGTCAAGGAGCTGTGGCCCAAGAGCTCCAACTCGCCTACCTCGGGTTGCAAGGTCTTCCCTTGCAATAATGCTTATTACCTCCCTGATGATGTCCAGACTAAGACGACTCCCGAGACGGACCTCGTCTGCACTCTCGGCGGGTCTGGATATAGCAAGCGTGAGGAGGAGGAAGGCAATGTTGAGCGCAGATTCGTGCTTGGCAAGTGGTAAACGATGAACCAAGACCTGCCAATCAACAAACACTTGATACCAAAATCGAAGATCAACAACACAAGTAGGATCTCTTGGACATGACTTGGACCTAGGATTCCGCAGCACGGCGCCAACGGATGGGAAAAAACACTGATGAGTTTTACACTTTACGATCCTTACATGACTTCTGCCAAGGATGCAGACAACACTCTTTAGACATGCGTTGCTTTCGATGGAAGCTCGTCCCGTCCTTCTGCCACTACTTCTTTATTCTCTTCTTTGGGATGATGCTTGGATTATTTGAGCATGCGTTTTTGGGCGTTTGTTACATACCCCTTCTGTTCTTTGTATATATAAATTTGGATATGCCCATCCAAACTGTATCTTGCGGCAATACAATTCCTATCTTCAGGGAAGCTGGCATCGAATATCTTGGTGAACATTAACTCCTCGAATAGAACAAGCATCCGGGCTCTCCGGCTCCAAGATCCCGACTCGCCAGATGTTCATATTGTAAATAAATTCGTCCAAGACATAAGAATTGCACATGATAACGATCCCAATATGCACCGCTTTCATCCCATCTTCTACTTGATTAATCCCATATTATCCATATCAGTCCTGTTCACCGCTCGTCACACAAGAAGCCCGTGCCGTGTCTAATTTTTACACCCGTACACCGGGAAAACAAGGTCAATATCAACCTATCTCCCAAAAAAGGCACAGGGGAATAGTAGAAGTCTACTTTATCCCGGAAACCGGAAAAAAATTGCCTCGAAGCGAGATCGTTCCGGACCCTGGATTGTCCCTACCTTTTCCGAACCTCACCTCCTCAGTAGATTCTCTTCTACTAAAACGAGGGAGAAAATCAAGACGGAAAAAAGCCAAGCGCTAAGATGGTTTTAGCGCTGTGTTCCTGGTCTAGCAAAGCTTGCCTCCTCCCACGCAGGGGAAAGGGGCAAGTGGTCCTAGGGAAAAAAGCCCTGTTGCCACTGGTTCCACTGTTTCCACTGTCCAAAGGCGGTTTAATCCAGTGCTGCCCCCCAGCGCCGGGCCTACAGGAACACCGCGGAGAACCTCCGTTTTTTCAGGAATAAGGATCTCGGAACTGATGTCATGTAGACCGAGGCCGCTGGGCTCGGGGGACTTATCTAAACAAGGAAAGAAATCCCGTAAAAATGTCCGAGAAGGCTACTGTCCACTGGTGTCATCGAAGCCCGATTCCTTGCCGTCTCCGTCTCTCCATGCCTGGACTTGAGTCAAAGATGCCGAAGACGGAAGCTTGAGAAAATGGGATGCTCGCCTTTCTAGCAGCCACAGGGCGGGATAGAACAAGCATTGATCCCGACACCAGGTGACGGAGTTATCCTCGATGCTGGATCTGGGCCTTGCTGACCCTAGGTGGAGTTGATCCCAGATCTAGGATGGAGTTGCCCGTGACCCCGGATCTGGCCAGACGCTCCGCGCAGTTGGGCCGTGCCTCCTAGTATGAAGTTTGCGATTTGCTAACACGCATTTCTCTAGTCATAAAAAATCTAGAGAAAGTGCAAAGCGGGGGGAAAGGGGGGATACGGGGCCGGTGTTGGCAGCTTCTTTTTCCGGGTCACTGTTCCTTGAAGAGACGGAGAGGAGTACTACACAGTTTAACACAACTTCGTACATTATCTCGCTGGTTATTTTGAGGGCAAGACAAGGCCATAGTGCCCTTCTTCTTTCTCTCTCTCTACTCCGTACATTCATTAGCTCCCAACGGGAACTAGAGCAATCTCAATATGCTCGAACCACTTCTCCATACAGCTCCTGCTTCAGGGCATGTGTGTACTCCCAAGCCTTAGATGCGCTAGCTCCACCTAAAGCCTTGCGGTCCTGTAGGATGATATGATGGTAACGCCGTATCAACTCGTGCGTGATGACCCAGTCAGGTGTAAATGGCTCTCCCTTGGGCAGAGCATCTCGAGCAGAGCTAACCATCATACTCCAAGCCTGTTGAATATAGTTGGATGGAGCGTAGCCTGGCACTTAATCGAGTTTCTCTATTACAGCGTTCGCATCATCATTATCTGGCTTCCCCCTTGTCCTGCTTTCGTAGCATTTGTCTTCGAGGCGAATTAAGGCTAGTCTTTGAATAGCAGCAACAGCTCGAGCGAACTCCTCATCATCATCATAGGAGGTGCGGACGATAGTCCAGCCCCAGCACTTATCATGCTGGTACTCTTCTGATGTACAGCAAAAATGGCAGAGGGATTAGGTATAATGCCATGCTTGCCAGAATTGACGCTCTGGGCTTCCTGGGCGTAAGTGTTTTGGTATGAGGTGGGAAAAGTCTGTGAGGGAGCAACCTAAGATAGCTGGAGGGTGTGGGCTGAGGGCGAACATGGCTGCCGTTGTGGCCACTCGTCTTGGATTGTTGTGAAAAGGGGAAAAACAAAGTATGGACTGGATGGACGGGTTGTGTTAGAAGACATGTCCGGACATGGTTCGGTTTTACGAGTGATCACGGAGACGAATAAACATTGGTCCGAACTCCTATTCCTATACACTACAAGAACTAAATTTGCCCACATTACAGAACATATATAGAATATACAAGACTGCAATCCGACAGGTTGTTGTGTCCCATCAATGGAAATAGTTGTGCAGGACTAAAGGCACCCGGCCGGCGACGAAAGTTACCGGGGGTCATGGGGAAGAGCCGCGGAGCTAAGAACCCAGTGTCATTTACACATATAAAAGATAAAAGGGGAGGGCCCATCTCTAGCTGGGATTGAGGGAGGGAAAGAAAAAGAAATATATATCATCAATGAATGTTTTGACAGGTTCAGGGAGCGTATTCGGCTTTTGGCGATCAGTCGTCTTCCTTACTCAGACAAGTCATTTTCTAGTACGAGTTATCGTATTCTTTATCTCAATTTTATCTTTCGCTTTTCACTTATATGGGTAGGAAAGACAGTCCAACACTAGCGATGAGATTAGGGGCGTTCAAACGGAGATCCTTCGAGATACAACTCCGATTCTAAGCCGGCGTTCGGAAAGGGACTTGTATTACCCTCTCACTCCGCTCAACAGGGGATTGTAAGTTGATGTGGAAAGGGAAGCAAAGGGAGGTTGGTTGTGCATCCGACTATTTGGGGGCAGTTCTGGAGGCTCTCACCTTTTGAAGTTCGTGGACACACACACAGACACACACACTCTCTCTCTCCCTCTCTCCCCATGTCCAGGGGATCAATAGAAGCTTGACCAGGAAAAGGGGGCTCCCCATATGCTTCGTAGGTAGCCATCGACGTCTTTCGCTTCATTCCTAAAAACACGCCCTTTCTAAGATATCTCAAAACTCCCCCCAATGGAAAACGAACGAACGAACAAAAAAGTACCCTCTTCCCAATCGTAAACGTTCGTGTATTCCCCGTTTACATCTTCGAACCTAAGCTGGCTTTGGATCCTCCGACTTTCCCTCGTCCCTCTTTTCGCTATCATTCTTCTCTTCCGACACCTTACTGTTTCCGTTATTCGCACTCTCGCCGTTCTTCTCGCCGCTCTTCCTCTCTTCGACCTTTGGTGCCTCTGGCTTCACTTCCACCTTGATATCCTTGCCCTTCACAATCTTGGTGAGATACGTGTCCAAGTCCCCGAAGCCCTCGAGCTTATTGAGTCTCGCGGATAGGTGCTCGATATCACGAAGCATACTAGATAAAGCGTTAGTATCATACCTCCGTAAGAGACTTAGACCACCAAAATGTGAAGAAAACCAAAGGGAAGAGAGACGTGCAAGGCGGAAAAAGAAAGAGAGGAAAACTGGGAACGTCGACATCTTACCTCTCACGACCAGCTTCCGTCTTGGGATCCGCTCCCTGAAACGCCTTCCCAAACTGGTCTTTATAGCTCGTAAACACCGGCACCATAACCAACCGAATCGACTGCTCAGGCAAATGCTTCGTCAACGCCCGATGCAGCGTCGCCGTCTCCTTCGTCACCGTCTCAGCGTACGCGTGCACCGGCGTGCTCGCCGTCGACGACCCCCAGTCCATCGCCCTTATCGACTTGCAGTGCGCCACGGCCCGGCTGTTCATGATGTCCACGAGCTTCTGGTAGATGCTATCCTGGTGCTCCTGCAGCAGCCTACGCACCTTGTCGAACTCGCCCATGAGGTTCGCCGCGCTGGGGCCCGACCCGGCGTGTCGCCTGACGAACTCGCGGATGTACGGGATGAGCGTCGCGAGAAAGGATAGAGATTGTGATGCGAGTGAAAGATGCTTCGCCGTGATGTTCTTGAGGCCGGCCGACTTGGTGGCGCCCGCTCCGAGGATGAGCTGCGTGCACCGCGAGTTGAACATGTGAAGGTAGGCGATGAGAGACGTCGCGATGTCCGCCGTCATGGACGGGATGCCACTCATAAGGCGGAGGAAGTGGGAGATGCCGTCGAGACAGAGTAGCGCCGAGTTGGGGAGTAGGAACGTCTCCGAGTCGATAGTGGCGCTGCGCGCCTTCTCCTTGGTCCCGTTCGTATCGGATGGCTTATCATCTGCGCCGTTAAGTTCCTCATCCACCGTAGGAGGCAACCATATCCTGCTCGGCTTTCCCCATGACTCGGGATCGCGCGTGCTCGACTGCAAGATCTCTTCTAATATCCTGTTCTCCTTGTCGCCAAAGTCCTTGGCGTTCCAGGTATCAGGCCCCATACCTTCCGCGAGGATTTGGATCTCCCTGGCACCATGCGCTTTGACAAACTCCTTGATTTGGTTGTTGACCAGTGTTTTAAGCGCGGTACCGCTCCGCCCAGAAATGGACTCACACTCGTTTGCGAAAAAGAGATTAAGCGTAAAGTACCGCAGGAATTGCGTAAGCTCGAGGTTGACGCTCTGCTCCGACCGCACCCGTAGAATCCGGATAATCTTGTCGTGTCCGCCATCGACCGCCTGCCCAAGCAAGTTACCCAGATCCAGCGCCTTGTGAAGCTCTTCCTGGATTTCGAAGCCTGAGAGGTCTTGCTGAATGCGGCCGAGATTCGGGCTGGCGATTGGCGACCGCACCGATGGCGACTTGGCATTCGCGGTACCCTGGGGATCGCCAACTTCGCTCGCAATGTCGAGCAGAACCTTGGTTTGCGTCGTCACTCTCCTAAGGGTCTCCGAGACGCCCACGTAAATCCTAGCTAGGAGCTCCTCTCCGTCTTCAGCGTCGAGGGCGCGTAGATTCCTCGCCAAAATGGCCGACTTCTCCTGGTTGGTCCGACTCCGACCCCCGCCACTCATAGTAGAAGCCGACATCATGGAGTCCGCATCATCATCATTGGAGCTTGGAAGTGGCCGTCGGACAATGGTGCGGATCTCTCGCAAGACTGATTCGCGGTATGCTGTGATGGCCGTCGCGATATGGTTCGCTCGGTGTAAGCCGATAATGTTTGGCAAAAGAGCGGCGCGTAGCTGATCCGTCGACCCGAGATAGGCAGGGAACACTGAAGGCTCTTTGACATGCCCGCCTCGCGCCCTCACAGCTGCACTTCCCCACCTTTGTAGGACCTCCCGAATAGACACGGTATCGACATGCTTACGTAGGTCGTTCATGAGCAGTTCCTGCAGCTTCAATCCGAAGACCTTTCCAATCCTGAACCTGAGCGTGTCTAAGTCGTTGTGTACCCCTTGAAGTGCACTCGCCCCTGTCAGGTCGCGCAGCTGAATATGCGCAATAGGCGAATTCTTCATAGTGGGTATTGAATCGTCTCGTTCCCCGATCATTAGTTTTTCTAGGCCGTCAATCTCGGTGAGTGCTTCCTCGACATCGCCCTGCTCTACCAACGCCTCACATCGCCCGACGCCATCGACAATGTATTTCAGCTGTAGTATCGCGTCGCTCAATTGCTGCAGGTTCTCGCGCTTTCGACGCTTCTTCGATAACTCGAGTCCCTTGGTAACGATTTCTTCGTCGAGAGCCACAAGGTCTTTGCGCAAGGTTTTAATCCTTTCGACAGAGTCGGCGGCTTCGGTGTGTAGTTCTCTGAGGGAGCCAAGGGCCGTGAAAAAGGTGGTAGACGCCGTTGATATCGAGCTAATTAGATGGACTTCGACAGTGTCCATGTACCAGGAGAGCTTCTCTTGTAATATAGCATTCGTCGCAAGGGCCTTTCGAGGAGCTGGCGCCGCACCATTCCCGACGTCCTTGTCTGAGTTCTTCTGCGTTTGGGGCACAACTTCAGACCTTTCACTAACAACATCAAAGGTTCTTGGATTCTCTAGGTGGAAGTCCTCTTCAAAGTATACCGTGGGGATAGTAGAGAGAGGCGGTGGGTTGTGCCCCGTCTTGCGACTGGATCCTCCCCGCCTTGTATGAGTGCCGCTCGAATCGATAGATCCTAAACTCGCAATAGAAGATATAGAGGATTTGCGCGACGCCGGGGCCCTAGAACCCCCAGGTTTGAAACGAGGGTCGTTATTGAAGTCGATGCCATCATCCGGTCTGGAACCTTTATGGGCGCTTCGGGTATCATCTTCGCTCTCCTTCGCTCTCTGAAGCTGCTCGTATAGCGCACCCATTTGCGTCAAGTACGGCTTGAATTCGCTCACATCGATTTGCTGTATATTCGTCAAAGTCACTGGAGGAATATCCTTGGCGGTCGGAGGCTTGTGCCCGCTGGACGGAGGTGGGGTGAGATGCGCTCGCAGGCCAGTTCGTACGATCGGGGGTTGTAGAAGAGTTGATATGGCTGATTGGGGAAGCATGGTCAGTAATGCGACGGCCCGCTTAGGGGCGCGTTCCGAGAGTGTGTTGAAGACATACCATTTTGCCCGAGCTCGAGGACAGGATGGGACCATGAGCCGGACGATGGGTCCAACAGGCCCCCTATGGATCCGGCCGTGGAATGGATGGAACTAGCATTCGAACCCCGTCTGGGTTTTGGTGTATGGGTTTGGCCATGTCTGCTGATCATAGTTAGCGGTTAGTCCATATCTAACAGTTCAAGCTCTATCTCCCACCTTGGAAAGGAGCTATCAGAACGGCTGTGTCCCGGGTTCGATGATCGATCTGTGGGCCGCTGCCCCGATCCGGAGGAAGCCATAGTCCGGTATGGCAAGGTCGAGCGAAGGAGGTGGCGGGAGGAAGAGGAAGCCGACAACGGTTAGATTGACGGCTGGGTCGAAAGCGGCTATCGTGGAGACATCTCTCGGGGGGGTGCACGGAAAGGGCGAGGCGGATGCGCTGGGAAGGGTTATTGAACGGTTTCAGCGACTTATGAGTTCGTAGGTCGTTCAATGCCCTCGTCCGCAAAACTTCGAGGATCTGGAATCGCTGTTTCGTTGGGATATTTCGATGCTAGTCAGCACTCCAGACTAGGTACACGTCGTCCTCAGCCCAGCCAAGCCTCCCTTCAATCTCAGAACCCTGCGAAGATGCTGTGGCGCCTTCGCAATGCAATGCAACTAGCTGCAATTGTGCTACACTCGAGGCTTGCTTGCGTAGTTCCGCCAGTAATTATCCGAAAGCACGTGATGATAAGCTTATCGATCGGTACTTGGGGACTTTGGATGTGACAATGGAAGCTTCAGGGGAATTTGACGCTTGGACCGGGAGCGTGGATCTGCAACCACTTAAACTCGTGTGCGGGAAGGCGCGTCCTTTTTTTTGCAATCTAGACGCGTTTTCGCGTTGGGCTTTTCCTTTCCCCTCCAGCAGCCATTTTCATCGCAGCGTTGTCACTCCCACCCCACATTAACACCTGGCCAACTTTCGATCTTCGCAGTCAACGTCCTCATTAGACCTCTGTATTTCCTCTCCCAGTTAAAGGATATCGACGAGCGCCCTTATATTAGTGGCCAAATCTTCACCATGGATCGCCAGTCGGTCTTCTCGACCCACGTCTTCGCCGCCAATTTCAACGAGAGTACTGAAGACACCCCTCTCCAGATCCAGGCACAGCTCGAAAATTTCATCCTCAACTTCAGACTCGACAACCGGTTCATATACAGGTAGGAACCTCTTCGATATACAGCGTCGCCGGACCGACGGGTGCTAATAGCGGTGTAGAGATCAATTGCGCGAGAATGCCCTATTGAAGCGGTACTACTGCGACGTCGACATCAATGACCTCATCAACTACAATGAAGAGCTTGCGCACAAGCTCACCAATGAACCGGGCGATATTATTCCTCTGGTATGTCCTTCAGAATAGAGATTTTCGTGGGAGTATTCCCCTCTTCTTTCTAACACGCAATTTCCAGTTCGAGGCGGCGCTTAAGAAGTGCTCGATGCGCATCATCTTCCCCCTCGAGGGCAAGGTTGAGCTTCCCGAACATCAACTCCTCCTTCACTCCGACGCAGACAATACCTCAATTCGAAATCTCGACTCTATGACCATCTCGAGGCTAGTCAGAGTACCAGGAATCGTCATCGGCGCATCTGTCATGTCCTCCAAGGCAACCCTTATCGTCGCCCAGTGCCGGACTTGCCAACACTCGCAAACAATACCAGTCCTCGGCGGCTTTACCGGTGTGACTCTACCGAGACTTTGCGAGAGAAAACGCGTTCCAAACGACCCAACCCCTAAATGCCCCATGGACCCTTACTTCGTCATCCACGAGCGGTCTCAATTCGTCGATCAGCAAATTATCAAACTCCAGGAGGCCCCCGACCAAGTCCCCGTGGGAGAGCTCCCCAGACACGTCCTCATCTCCGCCGACAGGTACCTTACCAACCGCGTCGTACCTGGCTCCCGCTGCACCATCACTGGCATCTTCTCGATCTACCAGAACAAGGGATCCAAGACCAACGCGACCAGTGGCGCCGTCGCCATTCGGACACCATACCTTAGGGCAGTCGGCATCCAGACCGATCTCGATCAGACTGCCAAGGGAAGCGCTGTGTTTTCCGAGGAGGAGGAACAGGAATTCTTGGAGCTCAGCCGGCGGAAGGATATCTACGAAGTTCTCACGGACTGCATTGCGCCGTCGATCTATGGAAACCGGGACATCAAGAAGGCCATCCTATGCCTTCTCATGGGTGGCTCGAAGAAGATTTTGCCAGATGGCATGAAGCTCAGAGGCGACATCAACGTTCTTCTCCTCGGTGACCCCGGTACAGCAAAGTCCCAACTCCTCAAGTTCGTCGAGCGGGTGGCGCCCATTTCCATCTACACGTCCGGCAAGGGTTCGTCAGCGGCCGGTTTGACGGCTTCCGTCCAGCGTGACCAATCCACGCGAGAATTCTATCTCGAAGGCGGAGCCATGGTTCTCGCTGACGGCGGAGTCGTCTGTATCGACGAGTTCGACAAGATGCGAGACGAAGATCGTGTGGCCATCCACGAGGCTATGGAACAACAGACCATTTCCATCGCGAAGGCTGGTATCACGACTATTCTCAACGCGAGGACGTCGGTGCTCGCGGCGGCTAATCCAATTTTCGGCCGGTACGACGACATGAAGTCTCCTGGAGAGAATATCGATTTCCAGACGACGATCTTGTCTCGTTTTGATATGATCTTTATCGTCAAGGATGAGCACACACGAGCGAGGGACGAGAAGATTGCCAAGCACGTCATGGGTATTCAGATGGGCGGCCAGCGCGTCGAAGAGACTGCTGAAGCGGAGATTCCTGTTGACAAGATGAAGCGCTACGTGAGCTACTGCAAGTCGTAAGTTTATTATATCCCACTTAGCCGACCTCTACATTTCCCCACGACTCAAACTTAGAACTAACCCAATGGCTCCCTTTAGACGTTGTGCACCTCGTCTCAGCGCCGAAGCCGCCGAGAAGCTCTCATCCCACTTCGTCTCCATCCGGCGCCAAGTCAAGTCCGCCGAAAAAGAAACCAACCTCCGCTCCTCCATCCCCATCACCGTCCGTCAGCTCGAAGCCATCGTGCGCATCACCGAAGCCCTCGCCAAACTCACCCTCTCCCCCATCGCGACAGAAGCCCACGTCGACGAAGCCATCCGGCTCTTCCTCTGCTCGACCATGGACGCCGTCAACCAGGGCAGCAACCAGGGCAGCAAGGAGCTCAATGAGGAGGTGCACAGGCTCGAGGGGGAGCTGAAGAGGAGGTTGCCGATCGGGTGGAGCACGAGCTTGGCGACGCTGAGGAGGGAGATGGTGGAGGGGAAGGGGTTTAGTGAGCAGGCGCTTAATAGGACATTGTTGATTATGCAGAGGAAGGATACGATTATGTTTAGGAATCAGGGGCAACAGGTTTATAGGAATGCTGTCTAGATGATTGTAATGATTGGGATTGGGAGGTGATTGGGAGGGAACGGATTCCATGTAATGAGCAGCTGGAAATGACGGTAGTGGGAGTGGGATGGCGTTGTTATCGTTGATTATGATCGGTAGTTCAGAATAAAAGGATAAGAAATGACACATTGACGTGGACCGTCTCTGCCTCTTTCTCCCCCACACTCTAAAAACGCGCAGTTACCATGGGCTTGTCAACCTAGAGAGCAGCCCATATAAAATCAGTCCTCAGAATCCCTCGATGGCGGTACTTCACGCCTCAGCGCAAAAAGCTACTATCATAAGGTCGATTGAAGAGACAGATATCCTTTCGTCCATTGCTGTGTCGCAGCGAGATCTCTACCTACGGAAGCCTGTAGCGAATTTGTAACCCTCGAAAATTTTCGACCTCGACCCCTCCATACGCACACACTATCCGTACAGATACTTACACTTCTAGTTAAATAAACTTCAGTATTATTCAATACTGAGAAATATCATTCAATACCGCGAATACTGCGAATACTGCGAATACTGCGAATACTGCGAATACTAGGAATAGGAATACTAGGAATACCGGGAATACTACGAATAATGGGAATACTACGAATACTGGGAATACTACGAATACTGGGAATACTAGGAATACTGGGAATACTACGAATACTGGGAATACAGTGGAAGGCGAAATGGGCGTCGCCGATTTTTAGTTAACTTTTTTAAGGATTGTGGGGTATACCTGTGGCTTGGGTGGCTTTGCGGGATACAACTGTAGCGGGGAGGTACTGACGGAGCAATACCTAACAAAGCCATAAACTTGCTGTTTACAGAGGCTTAACGTCCACATTTTAGTGAGTAAAGTTTTCTGCAGGGGGGCTAATTTTTACTCCGTGTAGCTAAATCAGTGTTTTGCAGACGGGGACTATGTTCTCGCCATTCAGTCACGAAAGCAATCAAGGTGCTGTGGATGGCAATTCGTCGCCAGAATGCAACAAGCCTGAAATCAGGCAGCAAGGCACCACTGGGAGCCCAACCCAAGTTATGTCAGGTCCATAACGGTCCAAAATCATCTTCGTGGACGGCCTGCGCGGGAAGAGCGAGTCGACACAACCACCAGGCAGGCGGCGATTGCCTCTACCACAGCCACTGCACCTGTCGGTTTAAATCCCAAAGGTCTGGAAAGTGTTGCAGAGGGTGCGACCCGTAGTCTAGTAAGTTGACGCTCCGAAGATCTTGGACGTCAGACTGACCTGCTCCCCGCCCAGCATCGTCGCCGTCGGCAATACACTTAACGCCAACTTCACCTACGGTAGCAATATCAAGTACCTACTCGCCATGGAGGACAGCCCGCTCTCCATCACCGCCAGTATTACTGGAATTCTCACATTTATCGCGGCGATCATTGCATCCGTGTACGTTCGGTATAAGGTCCTTAAAAACGGATACGACGAAATTTCGACGATTATGAACTCCACTATTGGTACCGCTGAAGAAACAATGGGAAATATTTTGGTCGAAGGAGACAATCGTCCTGAAGTCGCGCGGATGAGGAAGCACCTTATGGATTTGTATCGAATCGAGATTACCATTATGAGTAAATGTGCTAAAGCCAGCGGTTTTAAAATCCCGCCTGTAGCAAGAGCCATGGATCTGGAGCATGATAATAACGAGACACAATTTAATCGACGACGCGAAGGCGGTCTCCTACGAAAGTTGTCCAGCTGCCAGTCTATCTTTGACATCTGGATAAGCTCTGCTCCTGAGTTAATGGCGCTCGTATGGGCGATCAAGTTTGTAGTACTAGCTGGTGTTACCCCTACGTTGTTTCGCTGGTATAGGGTTCGTAATGAGGTGATGGACATGGTTCAACAACGAAACTTACTACGCTCTCAAATCCTATATCAGCAGATGATTTTGCTCCACATGTGAGTTTTTGAACCTCTTGTGCGTTCCTAGGTTAACTAACCAGTGACTGGCGAGTAATTAGGGAAATACGTGATCTAAAATCCACATTGTCGAACTTGACTCCCGAGACTTAAGTCCAGTTGAACCAGGACCTGTGGGAGAAGTTAGGGGAAGTAGGAGCGACGGAGCAAACGCCCTATCCGGTTCATTCTGGTTCCCAAGAGACAGAACGCGTCGCTATAGATAGTGAAGCAACATCCCGAGTCCACCATGGCGAAGACTCCGAGAATGCTCTAGAAGATGGAAGGGAAAAAGGAAAAATAATAGTAAAAGAAATATTATTTTATTGAAGCTATGCTAAATGTTCTAAATCTGTACGGGTTGGGGTAGTTCTAGTAAAAATTTGAGGGGTCGAGGTCGAAAGTTTTTAAAAGTTACAAATTCGCTCTGGGCTTCCGTATCTACACCAGCATTCTCATTCTCTGGAGAGTGTTTCACCATATCTCACAGCCTTGCGCTAGAGCACAAAACCGATCCAATTACGAAATGCCCCACCAAGCCAAGGCTGGCTAATTCCCGTTTTGAAATTTTTTTTTTTTTTGTCCCACCGCCTAACTTTTTCTGCCCTCATCAAAACCAATCCACCTCGAACATCAATCCTGCACTCTCCGATCGAATCCAGACAGAGAGCGAAAGGGGGAAACAAAAACCAAAATGGGTCGAGATTTACAAAAGAAGAAGAACCGCTCAGGGAAGCAACCCATCAGACAGCCCCAGCGGAAAAAGAAGCTGCTGAACCCGCTAGGGAACAGTATCATTGCGAAGAACTGGTATGCAAAACTCACCTCCCGGCCCTCAAATCACCCTCTCCCAAGATTCGGAAACGCTAACGTTATTTTCCTTTCTTTTTTTTTTTTTGTAAACAGGAACAAGAAGGAAACACTCTCCCAAAACTACCGCCGCCTCGGCCTCGTCGCCCGCTTAAAGGGTCCCACCGGCGGCACCGAGCTCTCCCTCTCCGAAGCCACCCGCCTCCGCGAAGCCCGCACCTCCACATCCTCCTCCCTCGTCCCGTCCACCGCCTCCCAACCCCCGCGCCAGCCCAAGACACCGCTAGCGATCCAATCCATCGAAGCCGCCGTGATCAGCGAGGTCAAAGTCGAGCGAGATGCCACCGGCAGGATCATCCGCGTAATCGGATCATCGGCCAAGAAAAATCCGCTCAATGACCCGCTGAACGAATTCGACGACGACTCCGAGGAAGACGAAGAAGAAGATGGCGATGAATGGGGCGGCATCGAGGATACGGAGGAGGAGAAGCGAGAGATGAAGAAGACGCAGGTTGTGAGGGAGCTGGAGGAACTCGCTGCGCAGCCTGTCGTTAAGAAGCCGAGGCACCAGAGTGAGAGGGAGAGGGAGTGGATCGAGAGGTTGGTGGAGAGGTATGGGGAGGAGAATACGGGGGCGATGGCGAGGGATAGGAGGTTGAATCCTATGCAGCAGACGGAGGCGGATATCAGGCGGCGGATACGGATATGGAAGGAGGGGAGGGATTGAAGGGCATGGTTCGCGAGGGAAAGGAGGGCGCCCGGTTATTATGTTTGTGAGCAAGAATTGTCGAGGTTATGAAGCAAATATGCATTTTCGGTTTGGAATTTCTTTCTGTTCTTTTTCACTGGACTTACCTTGGAATCATGGAAGGGGGAAGGGGGAAAAAGTCACTATGCTTTTAGGAGTTATTACAAAAAGCTGGGATGGGAAACCTCGAAGAGCTGGTGAAAACTATTTATCCTTTATTTGGTATCTTATGACTGATTGTTCGCCTCTCTTTTAAACACGGAAACAGAAAATATAAACTTGACGCCCCAACACCAGAATCCAACAATCGAAGCCCTATCAAAGCAAAAAGACGAGGCAGATAAACACAAACAGAGCATGATGCGTGACTCCTCTACAGACCTCTCGCCTCTCCATTCTATACCATATACACTTGCTTTCCAACCGTAAAAATAGAAGCAACCCTAATGGGGCTGCAGTTCCATCGTCGACGATGATCTCCGACAGCAGCGAAGGGAGGGGAAAGCAAAAACAAAAACCTAGAGTTTTATGCTACCTCCCTCAGTGAACCCGATCGTAGTTACCGGCCGGGAACTTAACAGGCCCAGTCTGCTGCTCGTACGGATCAGGCGTAGGCGTACCATAGCCGCCAATGCTCGACGACGGATGGTGAGGCGAAGCATAACTCGTGTCCGCCTCGAAAAGCGCGCTCGGCCTCGCAGAATGACGACCGCTCATGCTCCCGACGTTGGACCCATCGTACCGCGTCTCGTCATCGTCGTAAGGATCGGTGCGGCCGCCGACGTTGGATCCGTAGGGGGCGCCTCCGTACGCGCCACTAGCGTAGTCGTCGTTGCGGCCGGGGTCGCGCTCGTCCATGTTGACGGGGGCGTAGGCTTCCTCGTCGTGGGGGGCCATGGAGAAGGCGGCCTTATCGGGGTCGATGTTGTTGGAGTTGGGGAGCTTACGGTGGTCGTAGCCGGGGAGGTAGCCGTCGAGTTTCCAGTGGTGGTAGGTGAAGAAGCTGATGACGACGGCGAGGATCCAGAGGAGGCTGTTGAGAGGGAGAATGTTAACTTGATATAATTTACATGAATATGGATGGGATGGGAAGGTTTGCGTACGTGACGATGACGCCAAGACCAACGATGGCCTTGCTAGGACCGCAGGCGCCGCCGCAGCGACCGGCGCCATTGTAGGCAGCTTGGGCGGCGAAAGCGGAGAGCCAGATGATGGTGAAGAGGACGTCGATCATGAGCATGGCTCGGGGATCGGCGAGGTGGCGGGTTCGTTCCCATCGGGGGGTCATGAGGAGGAATACCCAGGCAGGGATGCTGAGGAAGCACTGTAGACAAGACAGTTAGAGCGGGCGTTTTCTGGATAAGACTCCCGAGGGGGGGCGGGTCGGGCCCAAGACGTACTACACCGAAGACCCATCCATTTTGGCCGTTAATGTTAGCATCTTTGTCGCGGAAGACAGCAATTTCGAGACACCAGGCGACGAAGACGAGGAGAATCTGGAGGCCGTGGACGGCCAGTTTTGCCGATGGGACCCTGTCGGGGTTGAAGTTGCTTAGGGACACCATGATAGGCGGAGTGAGGAAGCCGGCGTTACGTCTCTTTCTCGAAACTAGATTGCTGTTGCGACGTGGGTGATGATGATATTTTTCTCCCTGTCTCTATCTCTGATTTTGGTCCCCTAGACGATTTCGCGGGAGATTTGTTCGTGTCAGAATTCCGATCGAGGGTGACAGAAGATGCGCTCGATTTGTCGTATTCGGGGATGGATGGGGTTTGGCGTGGTCGAAAAAAACGGAACCAATTCGATACACGAAAAAAAGATTAAAGGAGAAGGGAAACGAAAGCCAGCAATGCCACGCGCCAAGCTCGATGAGGTCAAAGTGAAAGAAGAAATTGATTGCTTTGTGGGACGAGGAAGGAGAGGAAAAAGAACGAAGTCGCGCTGGCTAAACAATGAGGAAGGAAGGAAGAGAGAAAAGAAACAAAGACCAAACGTGGGCAGGAAAGCGGCTGATGAGGTCGGGTGGATTTGGTGATGATGGGGAAAGGGAACGAACTAGGAACTGGGACCGGGCAACCAGAGCGAGAGAGGCTTGCGGGATACTTCGTACAACTTTGTAGTTTACTTCAGGTTCGTAATGCTCGATTCGGACTGGACAGACAGACACGAGGCGAGCCTTAAAACAGGAAAGCCCCCAGCGACGGTGCAACGGCGGGGATGGGATCGTGGTCCCAATTCCGATGTGGTTTGGGTATCTTTTGTATGAGCCTGATATGAATTGGGTACCTGAGACACCAGGTTCCCAATTCCAGCGCTGGCCCCCTTGTCCATCCTCTACTTCGTAGTTTACCAGTATTACCCGCCCAGGCTGCGCTGCGGCTCCTCTGGATTTTCGGGTTTGGTTGCTGGGGCGTGTCTGAGCCCCCTTATTCGTCTGCAGTTTGCCCGCCCATGTCTCGACTACAGTAACATAAGCCTGTCCCCCTTGGTACATTTTTTTTTTCTTCTGCCAATGGCGGACTGTGACGTTCAATATTCATTGTTGTTATCCCCAGTCTCTCCTATCAATATTCATCCTGGGTCAGATTGATATGCTCTCAGTATTCTCTGTATTGCCGTATCGATCCACCAACTTGCGCGGAAAACAGACATCCCGGACGCCCTTAGTGCACAGCCAGCCCCAGGCAACCTCATTACCCACAAAAGGTTATGCGGATTAGAGTAATGATCACCAGGCCAAGTGACGAAGTGGCTGTTTAGCGTGTCCAAGCCACGCGAGCTGCTAAAGCCTGGCCGTTCCGGAAACCCGCTGCATTTTTCTTGGAATGTCCACTGTACACTATCCCGCGTATCGCCCTGGGAGACTCGATTTTGTGCCTTGGGATTGGCAACCGTCGACTGCACGTAATTGTCATTGATCCTCCCTCATGTATCTGCACCGGGCTACACTATAAAGAGGCAATGCTCGCGTGTGTACCGAGTACATGGACCTTATTCCTCTCTCTTCATGGAGGCAGCAGCAAATCGAGGCACAGCACCATAGCTGACTCGACGAGATTCCATCTCCAAGTCTTTCCAGTGGGTCGAAACAAGCTGCGCCACCTCAGGCACGGCGCTCTCCAAAGAGCTGAGGCCTGACCTGGCCATTGACTTTTCTGTTCATCTTAGTTTAGACCAGAGTCAATATTGCCTTTCATGTCAAAACGCTTCAATAAACAGAGCCGTACTTGTACAGGTACTGCTAGGCATATCAAATTCCCCAGTCTGCCCAATTTACAGTAGGCCCATTTTATGCCTGTCAAGACTTCAACTCTCTGTTTTACCCAGGCTGAGGCAGTCCTGCCCTTGACGCCTCGCCTTTGCCCCTCTTTCGGCTTGCGTGTGTTTTTCACGAATCCCTCGGGGGAGAATTCAGAAAAATTACGTGGACATGGCGGCCGTTTGTGGATGCTGTGCAGAGAGGATGACGATAAAAAATTCATTTGCGGCCATCCCCGTCCAAGAAACATGCAGTTTCATGCAGCAGCACAGCCATCCCGTCCACGTACTGCGTACGACGACGACGTAACTGGCTCCTCATTCAGCCAAACGGCTGAAATGGCTTTGCTCGATACTAATCTTTTCGCCCGTTTTTGGGCACATCAATAATATTTGATTTCAACGTACAAAATGGGTCAAAACCTCTGCCTTGTCGCCTCAGCGGAACCTCCCAGAACAATGTGGTAGACATCCTTAGTCCATGAGCGATCGCATTGTTAGATCGAGCACTTTTCCATTATTCAACGTTCAGGAATACTACACACAGAGAGAGATTATTTGAAGGTGTAACCAGGGGATCACCCCAAGACTTTCCCACACGACAAGACTAGTATTAAGTGGATGCGGTGCAAGGGCAGCAATATTCAGAAACCGGGAAAGATAGAAAGCAAGCTCTGAATAGCATCGACAATCACCCAAGGATACATAAGGCATCCCTAGGAAGTAAGGAAGTTATGGCTCTGGGCTAGGGCTATCACCCTCTAAATGTGAACCCATGAAGAAAGTAGGGTTAGGGTTAATGGGTGAAGTGTGGTTCGGGGGGTGATAGTAGGATTTTTGGACGAGTGACCTGACTTCTGATTTTATAATCCAGACGGCCAAGTTCTCTCTGCTCCGGTTAGATCTTTCCGAGTCTCGACGTATCACCGGAACTTGATGTTGAGTGCTAGAGGTTAAGGATATCGGGTCAGACCTATCGTATATAAGATGGGGTTGATAGTAAAAGATAATCTGTCATTAAAGTTCTGTCTCGATATTCGTTGTGTTGCCGATTTGCTAACATGACGTATAGTACCGCCTGTGCGGTTTCTCTTCTACCGACGATGCGGTTGGACCGTTTGTGCTGTATGTTTTTCTCAAAAGCATGAACGAACGCGGGCTGCGTCCAAGGTTTGGGCTTTCTAAGATGAAGAGGTGAATCCGTTGAAAAGCATACATATGTTCAATTTTTTAAGCTCCTATAAACTATTCCGAGATATCTAAGTATAAAATCTATCCCTAGTCTTTTCTTATCGTGCACACATTGTATATTCTAGCGAGATGTATCGCAGGAACGAGAAACAATGGCGGGACTAAGGCGAGGGTCTCCTCAAGTCAAATCTCCCCAGAAACACATTTTCATGGTCCTAGGGAGAAAAGGGGGACCCCCAGGGACGGCCCGTCTCTCCAACTATGTTCGGTTGAAGAGTGTATATATATTTCTATACGCAGTAAACAGCTCGTATCTCATCATTCATTAATGCCACTACGCGCAACAAATGAAGACAGACAGAGGCAATTCTTTTGGGGACCAGCTCGATAGTGAAATGGGTTCGCGCATCAACGATCCATTTCACCTCAGCTCCTTTGTGGAGTTAACTGGCGAAGACGGTCAAGATCGCGAGAGGGTCGAGTGAAGCGTATACTGTTTCATCAGAGATACGCTTATCAGGCCCACAATTCTAATACAAATATCAGCATGATTCCATAAAAACTAACCGATGGGGGGAAAAAGGGAGGAGTTTCTGAAAAATTGTCTATGACTTACGCAAGAGCCAACATCGCAAGCCACACCCCCCGAAAGGCCTCCATAAATGACCTTATCACCCCTTCATACCATCCCGGTGGAAGCTTGCCGATTTCGCCGAGATCATCGCGGATCCGCCCGATTATATCCTCTGCGCCCGGCCTGTCACCGAAGCGTTCCCAGAGCCGCTCCTTGAGGATGTTTTGGTAGATGGCTGAGGCGATGGTCACGCCTATGGTGCTGCCCAGGCTTCGTGCGAGGTCTTGGTTTTGACTTGTTGTTAGCTTCTCATGTCATACGTAGACCGTATATAAAGGCACGGTTGGAAAATGTGGACTTACAGGTAGCAGACGTAATCACGGCTTGTTGAGAGTGATCCACCGCCGCGATGCAAGCGAGCAACGTAATCGTTAACATGCCTCCGTAGCTCCCTCCCGTAAAGAAAAAGGTGGTCGGAACGAGTCTCAGGGGAGAGTTCTCATCGAGGGTGGTGAGCACAGCCATACCCGCTGTAAATATGGATAGGACGATAATGGCCAACTTTTGGTATTTCCCCGTCCGCTTCATGATGAGACCCGATGAGATGGAAAAGACGGACGTGCCCACGGGGGAAGCGAGGAGGGCGAGTCCGGCATCGGTGGCGGTGTAGCCCCGAACTTGCAGGTAGAGCGGCACATAGAAAAGAGCCATGTACAGCGCCATGGAGCAGACGAGGTTGGCGACGCAGGCCGCCAGCACGGTTCTATTGAGGAGGAGGCGCACGGGGATGATGGGCTGGCGGGCGCGGCTTTCCCAGAACCAGAAGCCGGCGAAGAGAACGACTGAGACGGAGATGGCTGTAATGGGTAAGGGGTGACGCCAAGAAACGTAGTTCCCCCCCGCATTGAGACCGAGGAGAAGGGACACAAGGAAGCCGACAGTTAGGAAGGCACCGGTGAAATCGATGCGGGAAATATATGACTTGTTGGACACCTTAGGGGGTACCTTGACGAGGATGCCCACGAGAACGGCCGAGACGACGGCGGGTGGGACGAGGGAGAAGAAGGCGAGTCGCCAACCCAGGGAGGTGTGGTCATTCACGAATCCGCCGTAGACACCGCCCAACATGGCACCGGAACCGTAGCAGATGTTCCCAATCCCCTGAACAACACCCCTCTTCCTCAGAGGCACGAGATCCGAGCCGATAAAGGTAGAAATGGACATGAGCCCTCCGCCCCCGATGCCCGCAATAACCCTCCCGAAAATCATGGAGTACTTATCCCGTGCAAGCCCACAGATCAAATTCCCCGCCGCGAAGAAGATATTGCTAAAAACCAAACCCGGTCCGCGTCCGAAAATGTCCGTCAACCTTCCCGAAATGGGCTGGCACGCCGCATTGGCGATGAGATACGCAGTCGCCAGCCAGGAAAATACCGAGAGGCTCTTGAATTCGCTGGAGATGGGGCCCGATAGCGTGGCGAAGATGGTGGAATCGATGGCGCCGACGAATACGCCTATCCACACGGTGCCCATGATGACGGCTAGACGCGCCGTGGGCAGCTCGTCGGCGACGATGGTGATTTCATCTTCTGTCACGGTTTTGGGCTGGTCCGGGTCCGCGAGGAGAGGGGTGGTTTCGGTGGCGGCGGGGAGGGGTGAAGACCCGGTGTTTTCCGGCACCGTCATGTTTTTGACGGTGACTTTTGTCTACGAATTGAGAGCGTTGGGGAGATCAATTGGGGATAAATTAACTCCAGGGCTCTATGGAGGGTATCTCTCCCCTCGAGAAGCGTAAATGTTTTCTCGTCCGAGGAGAGATGTTGCGTCCTTTGTTGTCCTGCAGATGTGATGTAGAACAAAGGGCGTGAATGTGATCGAAATCGGCTTCATCGGTGTGTGTAAATTTATAAGTCGGATGGCGAAATCGGCCCAGATGCTTACAGGTGTCGACGTTTGTTCCGGCGTCCGCCCCACTCGGAGCCGTTCCTGGCCGCCGCGAGCCATCTTAACGGCAACAAACGTCCTTGAGATGAGACTCACTTACACGCGGCAACCCGTCCCTCCCCAGTCCAATCGGCCAAGACTCCTTTCCAACAGTGTTAAAATAAACAGCTTGCTTTATTCGAGCGGAGGGTGGACGGAGAGAGAGGGTAGTAGCTAACTGAGTCAGATTCAATGTCTGACAGTCTGACGTCGAGGTTTTAAAGCTTGCGAAAGTGAAGTCTGACTGTCTCTGACTGTTCTAATCAATTAAGTCATTATTTTTGACATTCTCCAAAAAGCATGAACGCGAGTCATTACCCCATGAGCGATAATGGGTCTCGGTCGAGTCTTCATTATTAGCTCACGAGCTTATTGGTCACCTCTGAATCATCCGCGGCCTCACAATCAAAGCAGCCGGGACATTTAACTTAGGTCTTTGGCGTCTCCATCTCTTGACAGAGTCCTCATTTCTTCACAAAATACCGCGGGGCAGCTGACATTCGGTTACATCACAGGCGGGGTCGGGGATTAGTTCCAACGATTTGAATTAAGTCCGACTGGATTTGGTGGGGCACTTGACAATAATTTTCATCGCGGGATTAAATTTTGGCGGGGGAGTATAGTCACATGACCTTCGATCACCGCCGAAGTGCCAATCGCTCATTGTTGCAACTTTTTTTTCTTTTTTTTTTTTTTCTTTTGCCGCAGGAACTGCGCGCATTGGGATTCGATTGACCGACAAGAACGAAACGTATTCATTCCTCGAGCCGCTCGTACTCGACACGGCACCGACCGAAGCTCACAATGTGTGGCATTACCGCTCTTATTGTCCGTCCCTCCTGCCCCGCGACCCACGATTTCGGAAGACTGCTGCTGACAATAGCACCCTCGATATAGCTCGGCGATCAAAAGGCCACCACGGCCGCCATCGACATGTCGGTTTAGTTTTGGTATAACCCTGTGATAGGCAGTTCTCTAATATATCTTTATAACAGCCATGAGTCGTTGTATTACCTTCAACATGTCCGTACCACCGCACCGCAGCTGTACCACAATACATACCCCCGGCTTTAGCGCGCTAACAATCGAGCAGCGTGGTCAGGATGCCGCGGGCATCACTGTATCCCAGGGCGGACGAGTATACCAGGCGAAAGGAAACGGTTTAGTCTCGAAGTGCGTAACGACCTCCGAAATAACCATCGAATCCGCAGCTAACGAACCCGGCCGAGTTTAGAGTCATGAGCGATGGAGCCCGCCTTCAACGCTTGCCCGGAAACCTCGGTATCGGCCACCTCAGATACCCGACTGCCGGAACCTCCTCTGCGTATGTACCACCTGGAGAGCTCAGGACCATCAAAACCTCGCGCATTCGCTGACTATGCCCGCGCATCACAGATCCGAGGCGCAACCCTTTTACGGTACACCGACGAACGAGCCCCATTGAACCGTTTGGCAAATTCAGCTGACCCTCGAAGTGAACACACCATTTGGCATCTGCATGAGCGTCAATGGAAACCTTATCAATATCGAGGAACTCCGCGAGTTTCTCGACGTCGAGGCGCACCGACACATTAATTCCGATTCCGACTCAGAGCTTCTGTGGGTTTCCGAGTGACTGTGATCTAACAATAAGCAAGCGCATTTCCTGACCTCGATCTTTTAGACTCAACATATATGCCCATGCGCTCACCGAACTCGGCAAGTCTCGCGCTAATACCGAAGACATCTTCACCGCCCTCCGAGCCGTATACGAGAAGTGCAAGGGAGCCTTTGCTTGCACTGCGATGATTGCTGGTTTTGGTATTCTCGGGTTCCGGTGAGTCCGATGGGGGTGAGGGTGTGGGGCCCGTGGCGGCTCTGTCTAACTGTCTGCCAGAGATGCGAACGGCATTCGACCTCTTTGCATCGGATCCCGGCCCTCTCTTACATTAGAAGGAGCCACCGACTACTTTATGGCCTCCGAGTCCGTTGCTCTGAAGCAGCTCGGCTTTAAAAATATCCGCAACATCAAGCCGGGCGAGGCCGTCTTTATCCAAAAGGGATGCGCACCCATCTTCCGGCAAGTCGTCGAGCAGAGGACCTATAGCCCTGACCTTCTGGAATATGTTTACTTCGCTAGGGAGGACTCGGTCATGGATGGCATTTCCGTGTATCGTAGCCGACAGAACATGGGAATCGAGCTAGCGAAGCAGATGAGGCAGGTTTTGGGCGACAAGGTTATCGACGAGATTGATGTTGGTATGTCATAAATATTTTTCGTGCCGTATGCTGAGATTGTACTAACTTCATTATTTTTAGTTGTTCCGGTCCCTGAGGTATACTATTACCTGCATCCCGAGATTTGCGATGGTTGGCTGACGGAGGAACCTGATGAAAACAGACGAGCAACACTTCAGCGGCGGCTCTCGCTGCGCAACTGAAGAAGCCGTACTCGAATGCATTTGTGAAAAATCGGTGAGTAATTTTTCGAATCTAACCTCCCTGCGCCTTGTTTGTCCCAGGCCAAACGCAGCCTATTGGGCGGCGTCACTCCGACCCTGGTCCTGGGGTGAACCCCTGGAGCTTGGGCGTTTTCTACCCCACTGAGCTTCGTCACTCGCCGCACACAGCATGTCCTATCACATGCATCTGGGCTTCTGCAGCTAACAACATGTGATAGATACGTTTTCCGGACGTTTATCCGTGAGTCTCTTTGAATTCCCCTCGCGTGCCGGCCTGGAGTTCGACGGAGGGCTAACTGAACATTTTGCGCCCTAGTTCCTAACCAAGGACTGCGGAAAAAGAGCGTCCGCAGGAAGCTCTCGCCCATCGAGTGCGAATTTGAAGGGCGTAATGTTTTGGTTGTTGATGACAGCCTTGTTCGAGGGTTCGTGCAAAACGAAAATTCATAGTGGAAGTGCTCATTGCTAACAATGTCTTATTAGCACCACTTCTCGAGAAATCGTGCGTCCTCTTGTGTCACTGTCCTTGGGGTCTAACACCAGGCAAATTTTAACCGTATTTGGATTGTGTAGGTGCAAATGGTCCGAGAGTGCAAGGCAAAAAAGGTCATTTTCGCCAGCTGCTCACCAGAGATTGCGAATCGGCATATTGTAAGTGGACTCTCCGCATTGTATATTTTCAGTATTACATTATACTAACTTGAGTAGTACGGCATTGATCTGGCTGATCCGCAGGGTGAGATACCCTCATTTTAGTCTAAATAGCAGGACTTCCTATTCTAACTTACTACAGAACTTGCCGCCTATGGCCGGACAACAGACGAAATCGCGGACTACATCCAAGTCGACCATCTCGTCTACCTGAGCCTAGACGGCCTAAAGACGGCCTGTCTGGATGCGGCCGAGAAGGACAGCGGGGTGGACGACTTCGAGGTCGGCGTGTTTAATGGCAAGTACGTGACGGGCGTGCCAGAGGGCTACTTCGAGCGCCTGAGCGCGCTGCGGCAAGGAGGAAAGAAGCGGAAAGCCGCCGCGGCCGGCTTGACGATAGTTGGCGCGACGGAGCCGGCGGAGGACTCGGCGGTGGTGGCGAACAGCGGGCCTGTGAACACTGCTAGCCCAGATTACCGAGAGGATATCAGGTTTGTCGACAATGATTAATATGCTGGAGTTGTTTATACTAATGTGCCGCCCCATCTTAGCATCTACAACTTTGCAAACGAACTTCCCGAGGAGCGGTAATCTCTTATTTGAGCAAGGATATCCTTTTTTTTGTTTTAGAGCTTTAGAAAACCTCGACTATTATGATTAGGTTGAATGATAGAATTGGAAAACAACTTTTAGAGATGTATAGTACTCCTGTATCGTTACCTCTTGAGAGTATTTAAACACTAATCTATCTTATAATGAAATTTATATATTTTAAAAAGCTCTTATATCCTATGTAGTATTAACGAAGAAGGCGAGGCTGGTGGAGTGGACAGCACGCCGCTCGAAGATGAGGGGCGACCGAAGACTCGCTTACCCTGGAGCAGTTAGGGGTAGACCCGAAAGCACTGAAGAAAAACAAAGGACTACGCAAAGACGAGAGAGCGCGACACTTATAGCTCTTCGGGCGATATCACAACCGGAGACTCGTCGCCCTGCAGGTTTCTGGTTATTGGGGCAGTGGCAATGACTTCGGTGGAGAGACGCATGTGCCTACACCAAGTGTATGATCCGTTCCTCGGCTGCTACATATGTCGACGGGTTCGCCTGGTAATGCGTCGCAATGCCAACTCTCCGGTACACTTCCCCCTCCCCCTCCACAGGCGCGAGTAAGAGGCAACAGTCCAAAGCCTGCTGAATCGACGTCACGTATAAACACAGAAATTCCGCACCATCCTCCCACTTCTCTTCTCCCTCAATGTCAAAACTCGCGTCAAAATCCGGGTCCGGCTCAGGCAGGTACGCCCGCTGTGCCTCCGTGGGGACCGGCTGGCCTCGCTCTACGGCCACGCGTTCCAGCCACTCGTCGAACCTCTTGCCCTTCGTGCCCTCGCGAGGGACCAGCCGCCTGCGCCCCCTCTGGAACACGCGCGGGAGCACCCTGCCGCGGATCATCAGACACGCCTCGACCAGTTGCGACGTATATGGCTCGCCGACCCAGACGACGCTCACGTGCTCCAGACGGGGACCCCAGAGGCCGACCGCTCGGTTGCCCAAGTCCCCGAGGTCAAACGTGAGCGTGTACGCTTCTGCATCTACGGCCAGCCAGGACCAACTCGGCAATCCCTTCCGCCGCGCCCGTCTCGTCGACTCATCCGAGATGCCCCACATTAGAAATGGCACGGCGTGTCGCCGCCACAGACCCACCAGCGGCTCATCCCCAGTCCGTGCCGCGAAGTACCGTACCAGACCCGCTAGCGCCGGTAACCTGTCCGACGGATTCGTCAGCTGTCTATTAGAGTATTCGTTCATCCACGTCAGCCAAGTGACGACTTCGTTGAGCGGGGTACGGATAGGGGCTCGCAGCTTGAGAAAGCCCGTTGAGACGCCCCCAGGGCCGTCTACCTCCCGTTCCGCCCTCTCCATGGCGACTCCAGGCTCTGACGCAGGGGCTTCGGCACGACCCCGCGCGTCCAGCGTCCCGTCCTCGGACTGGTATAGACTACGGCACTGCCAGTACATCTGGTCCGTTTTGGATAGGTACACGACGCGCCGCGAGAGGATCATCTCCTGCAGGATCCAGCCGCGGGAGCTTAGGACCGAGTGCGCGACGTAGTCGTGGTCCACCGATGGGCGGTCCAGGGGGCGGGCGAAGGCGAGGCAAGTACCTCCGCTTTCTTCCGGCGTCGTGGGATCTAGGGCTTCAAAGCGGGTAGATGGAGCCAGCGGCTCGGGCACGCATCCTTCCGTGCTGTCCTCTGCCGAAGCAGCGGCGAGAGTGATGTAGGCATTCGCGTAGATGGCTGCCATTTGTGCGGCTTCGTGCTGCCAGTCCTTCGGGTCGTCTTGGATGATGCAGATGGAGTCGATCCAGAGGTAGGGGATGTTGAGTTTTTGGCTGATGAGGACGGCGTCCCGGAACGTCTGTGGTAGGGAATCGATCGGCAGCAGTTGTAAATGGTCGTTGACGTTTTCCTTGAGCGTTCGGAGGGGCATATATGTTGTTCCCCATCGATGGCTCAAAGCAGTATATTGAACCTGGGTAGTATTACCCGACGACAGAAGGTCGGATGATAGAACTAGGCGGGGACGATGGCTACCATCTGCGGTACCAACATCGATCAGCCGTGTTGGCAGAATAGTGGAGTCTATCTGAAAAGAGCATTCCTGGTGACCTTCTTCACATTCTCGAATCCACTGCTTTATCGTTGGAAGTCTCCTGTCGAAATCGAGCTGTCCCTCGCCCATCCAGATAGCCCTGTCAGAGTAGGGTGTCTTCTCCGTTGTGACCATAAATGATTTAGAGCTGAACACCCGAGCCTTGGATGTGATCTCGGCCGAATAGACTGCGGCGTTCTCCCTCAGGTGCCAGGGGACTCCGTCACCAACAAGGAGCAGTTTGCTATAAGATCCGCTTCTCGCGAGAGCTGTAGCTTCGGCGAGGCCATCAACACCGTCATATTGGCGCACGATGAATCCGCACATGGCACATCGCTTCGCTGATCCTATCAGGGACAGGACGTCTGGATGGTGGTAGAGACGCCCAGTAACGGTGAGCTGGCGACAATAGGAGCACGTCGATGCCATTTCCAACCGCAGGCCGAGCCTATCGAAGTCATATTGCGGAACCCTGGCAATTAAAGTGGGTAGAGAATAGAAAAGAATTCTCCATCCTCGCGCAGTTTCCCACTCAAGCCTTCGAGGATGAAGCAAAGCCGATCCTATTGGAGAATCACGAGTGAGGGTTTCTAGCACTCCGACCCCGCAGCTCGCGGGCACCTTGTTGTTTGGAGCTTCGACGCGCCAATGATGTACTGCGGAATGGAGACAGGACCTCTAGTCACCCTAGATACGATCGGCCATTTTGATTTACATCAAGCAGATCCTCGGGAGTGAAACCTTGATTCACTGCCCGTGTTCGGTCATTGTCGAGAAGCTCCGGAGCTTCAAGCTCGCTGCCTCCCATGACTCGTTCCTCTACGAAGTAAATGGCCTCAACATCGTTCCAGCCTTGCAGGGTGGCCGATCCTTGACAGCGCCCTATACCATACCTTTCGTTGAATGACATCTCTTAACAAGAAACGTTTTAACATTACCTGGCGCCATGCTACAAACTGGGTCAGTAATGACTACTTGTTGATTTTAATTTCCGCCTTGGATTTAGTAGAAACTTGGCCAGCGAAGGTCGTAGCGGTGCGTTTCCAGCTTGTCAATTCCTCCTTCAGGCCGTCAGCGTAGACGAGGCCATTATCTCCCCGAACAAAAACTGGTAACAATAACTTCGCAGCAGGGAGGTATGCCCCGCGATTTCGGCTTCGGCAGCAAATCGGACGACGCCGGCATGCCCGCTTCACCCCGCCGGCGGTGGCGATGGCGGCGTCCAACACTCGAGGGCTGGCGTTCACCACGTCGCTTTTTTTTCTTTTACCTTCGAAAATAACCATGCCATCCAATCTTTGTCACTGGTCGCTAACACCGCTGCTCGCATTCACGGGTGCGCCATCCAACACGAGAAAGGAAATGCTCCTCGGACTTGATTATTCTGGCCACGTGCTCGCTATTTAGGCGAGTTAGACGTTGGGAAGATAAAATAGGCCTGGTTACATTCCAACGCCCGAAAAACTCAATGATCGACGTATTGGGTCTCGCCCCAGAGTATTTCAGACCTTCTAGTCAGCCACAGCAGGGCGTCTTCAACTTCAGTCAGCCGGGTTTGTATCTAGTGTGACGTAGGGCACACGACTTAGCATTCGGCCTGAATGATACTGGAGCATAGCAATCCCAGAGAACCAGGCTTCCAATGTGAATCAATCCACGTTCACATTTTTGGATCACCTCTCGGCCAGTCGTAGCGCACACTTGCTGGCATCGCAGAGTCGATGCTAGTCCCTGATGCAGCTTCCCGAGTTGACCTGCATAACACCTGAACCAGGGCCCAGAACTACACTTCGTTGATAGGACGAGTGGTGGTCAGATGATTCCAGGCCTTTCATCGACTCGCACCAGTCTCCGGAGATGTCCCTCCATAGGTAATCGGGGCAGCGGACAGAGGAATCTTGTCTGGATGTTTTGTGGTGTTTGACAGTTGGTCTTTCAAGTTCGATGTCGCCGCTTACATTACTAGGATCCTCATTCTTGTGAAGACTTTGAAAGTTAAGGCCGATATATATAATCGGCTCAAGTTCGAAGGCTTGCAGGATGTGGGCTTCGTAGGAGACAGCAATGGGCGATGCCAAGTCTGTCACAAGTTGTCATGGCCGTGGGGAACATAGTTAATTTTTTGGGGGCAAGTAGCCTGTAAACATCAAAGTGTATTCGAATTGGTAATGGGTGAATAATCAATGGCTGGGCAATATCTCGCTCCGCATAGCAGATGCAACATGGAGGATTGTCTGTGAGACTGCCAACACTCGGAGCGTTCCTTCACCCAGAGGGCAGGCCGGGCAAGAGCCAGATTCACGAAGAGTCCTGCTGACGGCTAAAAGGGCCGGCCATCAGACAATGGCATTGCTAATTGGGCTGAGGTCGGTTCGCGGGGATGAGGAACAAAGAGCCTGCAGATCGGGGAATAAGTAAACTACATTGGACGATGTAAGAACCCCGCTACTTCTTGGGGTTTCGTGCTGAAAGATTGGCCGAATCCCAACCAAATACGGAGTACATGATCCAACACAGCACGCTTGAGGCGTTTTGGCGGCAACCCCGCCCCCACGTTACTTAGCCAAAATGTCAGTACCCCGCTACACGCCTGCAGTTGATTTAGCGTGTTCTGCTCCAGGTCAACGCCTCAGCAGGTATCACCAAATATTGAATTGGGGTGGTTTCCGTCTTATTGTGGACAACCTCGGTCGTCTCGAGGACATCCCACTCTCGGCTCCAATGATCCAAAAAAAAATTATGACAAGGATCCCCGAGCTTTGGTCTGTCGGTCATGTGTGTCTGGATCTAATCGAGTGAGGAAGGTCAGCCCCAGGACGGGAGCGTCTGATTACAGACCGAATACCGAATGGGAAAGACGGAGGATCCGCGGGAGAATAGCCCGTCGGATCTCAGCGACGACACAAGAACAATGAACAGTTGGAGCGCCGAGGTTC